CCAATATGTCTATATAACACTCGAGTATCTCCCGATTTAAGCACAGGAAGGGTTATGTGCTTCGTGCGTATCTTGTATGTATGTATTTATATTTAATATTCTTTATTATCTCATATCCTCAGAACTGTTGAACGGATTGAGATATCATTAGATTTATCTTAGTAGCCGAAGTGTTCTGAGAACGTTAAAAAATTCATTACCAGCCATACTGTGCGACTCCATTATACTTAATAATATATGTTTTCTTTCCAATACTACAATATGGATTTCAAATTAAATGGCACGATACAAGGATTCCAAAAACTAATAAAAATAATACAATGAGAAAGTTTAAAAATAGGGAGTTTGTTTTTCCACTTTCTGAACCAACCTGTTAATTTGTTTAATTAAAAATACATTATATTATCATAAAAAAGAACAAATAACCCGCTTGCGTTTTTTCATCAAAGTTTTTGACACTTATATTTACAAATAAAGGTTTGCCCCTAAACCTTTATTTGTTGTATTATAAAGATTTGTAATGAAGCTTCAAATAAAAACAGTAAGAAATAAAGAGTATACAAGGTAATTTAATTTGTCCAGAATCCATAGATTGGGTTAAATTTAGTCCATTAAATTCATTTGCGAAAAAAAAACAAATAAAACGTCAATTATAAAAGCAATTGACAAAATCTACAGGACCCATGATCAAACAGTGAAGGTAACCACATAGTTCTGACCAAGTGTTTGACTTTGGAGTCTCTATCTAAAGTTTTTGATGTATGAGGGCTTTAAGGACACTCTCCAAACAAGCCGTTAAATGGTGTTCTGAACCCTATTATAAAAAGCTTATGGGCTTAAAACTTAACTGAGTGCTTATCCTGTATGATGACAAGGGAAAATGGCCATATGGGAATGGAAAGGTCATAAAGAAAGTTTTAGTTAGGTTAATGTGGACGAGAGGGAAAGCATTTCCATTTTTGTATATGTTTTATGACTCAGTTTGTTTCATCATAAATTTAAGTTAGAAAGGTTTGCACCACTACGCTCATATTAAAATATTAAGTTAAATCTTCGAAAAATGAGTGAATTTTAAAGAAAAAAGCAAATATTGCAAATTTTAGGTTTTTAAAAACAAATATTAATGAAAGCTTATTATACATAATTTTGTTCTGAAATATTTAAATACAAAAAGAAACTGAAACTTAATTTTCGGGGCCGAATAAACCACTTATGAATCCTCTTATTTTGTATTCACAAGTCTATACTGATATATCTTTTAAAAAATAACTCAATAAATCAACAGTCTCGGGTGGTCAAGACAGGATTAGTGGTCCCAACCTAGTAGTAATAGGGTTATGAATCATTTTTATTTGTTTGTCCGTCAGGTAGATTAGTGAAAAATAATAAAAACGCTTTTTTTTGCCTGTACGAATAAATCACGTAGATACATTGAGTTGAACTGTCGCATGACGCTTTTGTACATTTTCTACAAAACTGTGACGTAGCCCCCACTCCTCAACTGTAATGCCAGGGCCGGATTAGCCACGTAGCAAATGCTGCGGGCCCGCACAATTGGGAGCCTCGCTATGGTTCACAGCCAATTCATTAATGTTTCAAATCAGTGTTAAATAATGCAAGAAATAAAATAAGCCACGCTTCTGACTAGTCATATTTTTAAATATAAACATAAACTGACAAATAAAACTCAAGTCACAGATTAGTTGTGTTGTATTATTCGGAAACTATTAGATGACTTTCTGTTACGGGAGGGAGGGGGGGATTATTATCTAATCCATTTATTGTTTCAGTTGTAATATAATATATACGTATCTAATATGTTTCTATTGTCGGACTGATGGATTAAATAGAATTTCTTGTTTTCACCCAGTCGTCATCCCTATTACGACTGCACGTGTAAATCAGCTATTATGTGGCGCGGAACAATGATATATTAAAAATAAAACCGATTATGGTTTAAGACGTATTTTAAGCGGAAATAAAACGATATCCTGCGCGCATCTTGAGATAAATTTCAGGCGGGGCCGTGGTCACAATACATGTCTTGTATTTCATGTTGGTTAAACATGATTAGGTGCAATAATAAATTATATTGTTTAAGCCATTGTTCCGAGAAACCATAACAATAAAATAAAAACTTTAAAGAATTACAAATCGTTCAAAAAGCGGCATCCGCTCAACCTTGAATTGGTAATAAAGTTTCGTGGCATAAGTGAAGTGAGTTTCGAAATGACATAGGAATAGAGTATCTGAGACACGTATATATTTATTAATCAAACTCTATTGACCAGTATAGAAATGGTACAAAAGGCGGACTTAATGCTAATGACATTCTCTCCCGGTCAACCTTTAGGAAAAACGATAAACGCGATGACGGCATAAAGTAAAAATTAAATATGTGTAGACATATAGAAGAAACTAACTGACGTATAAATGTAATATATATAAACATACAACTATCTATATCTACTATATATACATATATTAATACATACAATAACACAAATATAAATACATAATATTTATAATGATTTTAACATATTTTGCTTAAGAAAGGCATGAGTTTTACGTTTAAAACTTAATTTAATGGGAGATTTTTGTTTTGTATTTTTATACAAAAAAATGGAATCAATAAAATTCCTACACTAAATGACGTGAATTCGAATTCGGGTCTGGATTTTTAGAGAATCGCAGGGCCCTCGAATGCGACCGCCAACTCTCCATAGGATACGACATCTAACCAATCTAATGGCGACATTTCGTTTCATTTTACTACTTTGACACACTACCTTAATAACTACGAATGTGTGATGAATTTAGATAATAACAATAAACTTTATTTGCATTTCCAACAACATCTTCTAATTTATAACTGTTTAAGATTAAAATAAAACTAAAACAAACAAAACAAATAAATCAAAAAACAAGAGAAATAAAATGAAAAACAAAAACAATAAATATGTCGGGTTGTGTGCCGCTTTTGACAGCAACGATCGTAAATTTATTGTACATCCACAAAAAGACACTACAAATAGTAAAATGAAACGATATGAGGCCATTTCATCGCTTAGATGTCGTATAGTAAAAATCAATATAACATTCTATGATCCCGATTTGAAAAATCATAGTCCATGGCTCCAGGAAGGAAACGACACTCCGTAAAGCTGCAGCTGCCGCAAACCACTAAAGTAGGTCACCTCGAGGTTGACACACCAAACTTGTAACATTACACGGACTATAATTCTACTTACATTGCCACCATTTTATCCGGACCAAAAGTCTTCTAATTAAATTAACTCCTCGTCGGTGACATGTTAATTGTGTAACGGGTATTATTTAGGCTACACTTAGCATTTCATCTTTTAGAAAATATTCTATTCTACTAATACTATTTGAAGCTATTACTTTAATAAAATCACTTTTAATAGATTATGAAATACTTATCTTAAAAGCAGTTAATTTTTTTAAGAAAAGTAACATTTTCGACTTTTTTAAATTTGATGTCAGTTCCATTTTTTTAATAAAAGGATTTAATTCATGCATTTTAGTGATATTTTGAGTTTTGAGGTAACGAACGTCACGCATAATTAATGCAAATTTAAGACTTATATGGTTGTATAGATGCCATTGCCAGATCTGGATCAAATTAAAATGGGACCACACGGCAACTAGTGCTTGCCTTTCAAATAAAGAAAGAAAATCAGTCCACCCAGTAAAAACTTATGAGGTAACAAGCAGAAAAAGAAAAACAGTTGAATTGATAATCTCCTCCCTTTTTTTTCGTAGAAGTCGTTTATTAAAACAAACCGAGTATGAATAAATTTTGACCCGATTTCATAGTCATGAAACGTGAACCATCTACCACCGTGTACAGTAGGTATACCATAACTAGCAACGTATCAAGACATCTTTTCTATCTCCTATGTCAGCTTAGAAAGTTAAAAAAAGAGAAAAGGCAACGTAACTTTAATAAACAGAATATTTTTGTGTACTAATCAATGAATCAACAATCTTAATGGATTGAGTGTAAAAATATATAATAATATAATAGAATATACCTAATAAAAACAATTGTTTGATTTGATTTGATAGTTTGTCGGCGCGCTGTGAAGTGCACCACATCATCTGTGTCCTTGATTGGACTGTTGGTTTCTCGATGACTCTATGAACAGCCTTCAAATCCAAAAAGTAATTAATAGACCCAGGCTTATGACTTGCAAGTGAAAATACAGGTTTCTGTTATATGTTCGAAAAACATGAACTATTTTAACCTGAAATAATTAACAAAATGAATTTTATGACACTAATTTGGAAAATATTACGCTTTGAAAACCTGAAAAAAATGGGAAAAATATACTACATAAATTTGCCAAAAATACTTATGGCATAAAATTATAATAGAATTAATAAAATGTTACAACTTTCATTATAATAGCTATAAACATAACCGGACAACTAACAAAGATATTATATAATTGCCCAGACGCCCATACGTTTTTCATTACCGTAACACTGTGTGACGTCACTTAGTGCCTTGAATTAGTAGTGAGCGTTTTCGGTCGACTAGAAGCAATTCCAACAAACATAGCACCGTATCTCGAAAACTGTTAATCGCACGCATGCTGTTACTTCTACATAATGTGTAAGGTATTGATAGACTTTTTATTTATAAAACAAGAAGTTGTCAATTAGCCTATTATAATAAGGTTGGTTTGTTTGTGGGTGTTTAACACCCATTCGATCCAATTTCGACCGTTTCATTCACAACTTATTTCTGATGATGATGAGACCCTAATTTCCACAGCATTTTATACAACCACCTAACTTACGGAGAGTAATAAAAATTACATTTTCGATGCATTCCCAGGCTAATAATGGTCCATAAAAATGTCGTATAGATAGCCCAGTCGATTGCCAATACCAAGAAATATCTGCGCATATAAATTAAACAGGAAGCAAATACACTCGAGAATTTATGTTATGTTTTGTAGATTTCGTAACGGCGATTTGTTCCGGACTTGTTATCAGGGTGTCGTTCGCCTAACTCAAAACCGTACCCAACTCGATAACTACAAGTATCTATATATATATCCCTAAAAATAATGAAATAAATTGTTTTTTGAAAAAAATATACCGACTTTATACTTTAAGTGTGAAAAATAACACTTATTATAAGCGGATGAATTTTTCATGAGACGTTGAAGTCAGGTGGTTATCATTTAATAAACTACAGAAAACCTCAACCCGACTTCAATGTTTTTTGAAAAATTTAACCGCTTTTAACTTAACTATTATTTTTCACTTTTTTAGTTTGAATTTTTTTCTTTTTATTGTTATACATTCGTTTACACTTTTATACCTATCGTTTTTTTCACCTGTATCTCAATTTGTGAGTGTATTTCGGACTTTAAGTTTAATGAAAAAAAAGTACAAATTAAATTTAATAATAGATATATCCGTATTCCACATCGTAATTCAGATCTTTTGATTCTGCATAATCATAATTGGATTTTCTAGCACGTAGCATACTCGATATCTCTGGGTAATTTTCCATCAAGATTCTAGCAACTTGGGGAGTGATGGTCCCGTTGACGACGATGTCTCTAAATGTGCTATTCTTCATAAACTGGGTGTTCATGCCCTTCAATTGGTTCAGCTTCTGCTGTAGTTGCTCATCGATGTCCTTGATAACATTCACATGGATCTTCTTAACGGCGTTCCTATCCTTTTTGTACTGTTTCTTTAAATGTTTAACGAACTTCTTAAGCTGTTTCGTTTTCTTCTTCCTCATTGAAGTTCCATTTCTGTATATTTTACTCAATATTTTCTTTATTTCTTTCCGGATTTTCACCATGGTCCGCCTTATTTTACGTTTGCGCCTCTGTCTGTCGCGTCTCCTCCTTCGTTTCTCTCTCATCCTTTTCTTTCGTTTATTTTCCTTGGATCCCTTTTCTCTTTCTCGTTTCTCTTCTGAACTTGTTGCCAGCATTGAATCTTCGAATGAGTTATCGAAGCCCTGATACATGTCATAAGTGGTTATTTGCAGACCACAACAAACAAACTGTGTTCTCCCGCAAAAGACATCACCTCTATATATTCTAAACTCTGATTCACATTCCATGGGTAACATGCACGAGCCCCATGGCATATCGTGTTGGTTTGGATCGCCGCAAGGGACACCCCAGGGTCCTATAAAATACGAAATTACTCATTACTTTTCTTTCTTTAAGAACCTGTATTTAATTTCTAGTTTATTAACTTATACATATTATGTTTTACACTCATATCTAGAGTCAAGAGAAGTAATTACTTGAGAAAATGACATAACTTAAGATTTTTAACCAATAGACGAGAAATGTAATGAAATAAGAACTGTTAAATTTGATCCATTTTGCATTCACAATGCTGTCTTGGGAAATATTCTTAATGATAACTTATTACTATTCGCTACTAGTGAGCTTACTTTCATCAAAGTTAAGGTAATCTACCTAAACAGCCGAAAGAAATAATATTACGAATGTTTGAAACTATCGATAGCAAATAAAATTTGTTATTAATATTATTTAGAAGTGATATGTGCTTAAAAAATTCGTCAGTCCTGTTAGGTTCTAGGTAGCTCAGTGGTTAGAGCAGACGCCCTGATTGTGAAAGTTCGTGAGGTCGAGTCCCATCTCAGAGTACCTGGTGGTGGCTGGTAGATTTTTTAAGCATATTTCATTAATAAATAAGAACTGTTAAGAGTATTATTACTATTAAATTTTACTTTATTAAAATTCTTGTTTATTTGTATAGAAATATTTGCTCAACTACAGATACGGGTGTTAGTTGGTGGGACAAATTTTCTGATCAAACTAATTTGACCTTTTGCAATTTAAGTGATACTAAATAACTTAACAAATAAGTAAACAAATTCATTTCTAGCACTTACTGGCGCTTAGCATATTGACAACGTCTCCACGGGGCACTGACGAGTTGATTGCTTCGAACTTTTTCTCTAACCAGTACTCCTTCCAACTATCCTTCCATTCTTGAACTTCCAAACTAGAACTCTCCGAACTACTTCCAGTCAAAGATTTCGCTTTCGTCCTCCTCGAAAGGAAATTAAGAACCGGATCTTTTATATAAGCCTTCTTAGGGATTTCTGGGTTCTCCTGAGGAATAACACGATTCTCCATTTTGCCGTTCATTGCGTTTAGCAGTTCACCCAAGACATCTGATTTATCTAACGGTCTTCTACTATCGATCAATTCATTAGCCTTATTATTCTTATAATTAATTTTCTTTCCAGAATCCGCAGACCTTTTGAAATATGACGATATGGTATCTTTAACATTGGTATATATCGAAGAATGGATGACACTGGCATAAATGCTTAACGATAGTAAATATATAACAAGTTTCATGACTACAGACGCTAAATCTGTGTGGAAGCCGAAAGGCTTCTTAAGTTGTTTCACATAAAATATTTATTGCATATAAAATTGCGAAATACCTGAATGGTTTCGGGCGTCACCAAATTTTACGAGAATCTTTGATTCTGCATCTTGATTTAGGATTTTTTTTTTGCATTAAGTACCTTTTTCTCGTCATGAATCAAGTGTATATGAATCGAAATATGCATTAGGACTCCAATGATAGAAGTGCAACTATTTCTACGGCCACCGCACATCACATTGGTTTTCAATATTACAAAACCCTTTATGCTTTCACAAACATGTAAAAGTTATTGCTTTTTATTATTAACTGGCTGTTTTCGTAAATTATAGCTTATTTCATCCAGATATGATGTAGTTACCCGTAAGTGAAATAATTTTTAAAATTACAGTATCTTCTTCTTCTTTTTTAATTAATGGCTTATCTGCGCATTTCGCACAATTCTGCCAATGTCAAGTAAATAAATTAATTTTTACATGTAAAATGAAAATGAATTCAATGAAATATGTGTGATTGTCGACTATAAAAAACGCGAGGACGATGTGTGAATCTGACTCATATCAGTATCTGTAATTCTAAATATGCCTGTCATTTCATTCCCCTTATTTTGGCAATAAAGCATTATGTTTCAAGAGTACAGATTTAAACATAATGCTTTATTGCCAAAATTCAATGACAAGCATTTATAAAAAAATGCAACAATATATGATTCCACCTAAAATTAGAGTATTATCAAATGATAAATCATGTTATGTAGTTTCCTCTGAGAATCATCCAATATCTCGAACTAAATATAAGCAGACCTTTGCGTTATATCAAATAAAACGCAAACTCGGTCGCGCTGTATTCACTTAGAACATCTGTAATACAAATTTTGAGTCGTTTTATAAAGAGTTGCGACATCAAACTGAAATTAAACCCACAGTATTTAAATGGCTACATTTTATGTTTAAATAATTTTCAGTGACCCGTGCTCGAATGATAAATGTTGACTAGCATGATGCATAATGCAAACATCAGTGGATACATGTTTTGGTTAACAAAAATGGGTCAACTGCAAATCGTGCGGGAAGTTCCGTTTTCGCACTATTTGCATGCGACCTTCTATGTAAACGACCATTAACTTTCATGTATTTACCTTAATACATGAAAGATAACCGGAAGGGTTGTCATGGAGAAATCAAGAAAGTACCGTAGCAACGTCTAGTTTTATTTCGAGAACAATTAATTTTAAAAATACCTACTTCCACAGACATCAGTGTGTTTACAACTGTAGGTTTATTTGATTACTGTGCTTGTTCTGAACTTTCAGTCTTCAAATAGCCTGATGCTTTGCTTGTGCAAGGCTCTATGACTGGTTCTCCAAGCAACATGACGGTCAGCTTGTTCTTGCTTTCCCAATTCAGCATTTTCAGACTTTAGTGCAACTTGCCAAATTAAATTTTGCCAAGGGGTATTCTGACATATTCTTCAATTTGTAGGAATCGAACGAATCTGGTATCGTCCATTCAGTATTATTTCGCCCAAATTAATATTTGACTCCGATGTTTTAGATTTTAAATGAATTTTTCGAATTTTAGTTGCTAGTTTAGATAAAATCGTTTCCTACCTTTGTTTGATATTTAGTTTTTCATAAATATCGGCAGTTTAGTACATAACATATCACCCATTTTATATTTTTTCGCCTCTTAATAATTCTACTAATAATATTTTAATAAACGCAAAATTAAAAATGAATGCATAAAAATAATCAAAATCCCGTATTAATAATACAGTAGTGTCATGTAGTGGGGGGACATTGGGGGAGGGCCCAAAAGGAAAACGAAAACGAGGTAGACCTTACAAACATTGGACCGATGACATATCGGCGCAGGCAGGAACTCAGTGGTACACCAGGGCGAAGGACAGAAAGGAGTGGTCAGGGATGGAGGAGGCCTTTACCCTTATTAGGAATTCTCAATATTAAAATATCAATGGATAATGATCAAAATTAGATAGTGAATAATTATGAAATTCAAGCAAATTTATTTAATGATATACAAATATAACTTTCTTTCTCAATAAAATTCAAATATTATTATAAATGACAAATTAATAATGTATTTGTATTGAATAATGAATAAATTTAATCCTATATATTTAATCCTATGAAACTGAAATTTGTATGAGAATCAATAAAAGGCTTTTTTATTTATTTAGTGTCATGTAGTGAACAGTAAATTATAACATTTAATTTGTTCAACCGTTTGATAATTCCCCACAAAATTATGTTATTGCAAAAAACCGTGAAATTGAAAACGAAAGTTACTTTGTTGTTTAAAAACATGTTTGTTTAAAAACTTCATAAAATTTAAATATCATGAATTGAATTTTATTATTAATAATTAAAGTACTTAAAAAATCCACTTGGTCTCAGGCACCGAGATGGGATTCGAACCCATGACGTTTCGCATACTGCCCAGCTGGTTAGTAGAGTAGCTACTCAAGCTTACGGGACTGACAAATCTTTCAAGCACTTGCTAGTTTTTTGCTACTGCAGTGTGTATTCTCATCAATGGGAAATTGATCAAAAATAATATGTAATTTGAATATTTTTGTTAAATATGCTATTATAAATATAGCTTTTATATAGATGACAAACAATTAAGGCTCAGTTGTATAAACATTCATTAAGGATCAATGAAAGAATAATGTTTTAATTCTAGTTTATTATCTCAACTACAGCTTCTGGCTTATCAACCCATAATGTATGATCTTTATTTTTATCTATCGGTAGCTTTCTTTCTGTTTTGCAGATAGAACATGTCCATACAACAAATTTCAATTTGTTCTTATTTCTAATCTTCATTTTGCCAGTGACATTGTGTATAAGAGTGCATCTGCATTTCTTGCACATTTGTCTTTTGATATCAGGATGGCTGTAATATGAATAAAAGATTAACAAAATATAAAAAGAAATAATAACAAATTTTGCATACAAAACTGGTCTCTGGAATGCATTGCCGGAGGATAATAGGTGTGAACAAACCATTAACAGTTTTAAAATATTAGTTAAGGAGCACTTTCTATCACTTAATTCATTCCAGCAATCATTATCCTAACGTTGCATTCTTAAGTATGAATGTATTTATATATATATATATATATGTGTATATATATATATATATATGCTTTATAGCAATAAGGCCACCAATTGTACTATCTTTTACATTATTATGTATTATTCATTTACTTATTATGTGTGCAATTAAGAGCCTTATGTTGCACAACTATACTTAATTTGGGTAACTGTCAAATTGTAACAATACCTAATATAAAATAAATAAATTCATTATATAATATAATATATAATATAAAGGAGTATAATTATATTTCTTTGATAACATAGGACTAACATTAAAACAAACCCAAATCACAATTTAACTTTTTTTAGTTTAAAAAAGTAAAAAAATTTAAAGTGGTAAAACAGAATAGGCACTGAAGTAAGGCTCATTAAAAATACTTACATCTTCAAGACATTCTTCTTGGCGATACTTACAATAAGGTTACCATAGTAAGATGAAAGTGCAGGATTCTTCATCGACATGTATTTACTAACCTATAAAATATTTATAAATAAAATAATAACGCTGTATGTTTAGTATAGAAGTCCTTTAAACAAGTATATAGGAGATTATTCACAATAACATACCTGATGTAGATAATTAATTCGCTGAAAGGAATCATTCCCTTGTACTTTCTTCATTTTTAAATAACTTCATGCTATAAGAAACTGCCTTTAAATATAGTATTGACCATATACAAGTAGAATTTTTATGCAATTACCTAAAATTGTGAAGATGTTTTTTAATTTACCCACAAACTACATAAAATGTACCTTAAATAAATAAGTAAACAAAATTTCAATGTTAACCAGTGAGTTGACACTCACTAACATCAGCTGATAAGTAGGGATGGCGATCGTGATGTGAATCGATCATTTGAAATATCAAATCTTATTAACAAAAATTTATTCTACATTTCATATTGTATACAGTATAAACTATACTGTTTATTATGATTTTTCAACCTGTTTAAGCTGAAAAATCATTGTATATATCAGCCTGTAACAGGCAGGAGGTTAGCGGCTTCTTCTTCTTTTCTTAATGGCTTTGTGGCGATTCGCCATCACTATCCCACAATTATTATATACACATCCCTACACCGGGGAGTGTTTTGGTTGTCTATGGGGACGCTATGTGATCGTCAAGTAGCATCTAAGTTTGTAACCAAAAATGTAATGTTTTATACCATTATAAGAACATCTAACCAAGTTCCTCCGTGTTTCTTTTCGTGGTGATTAAACCCAAAGTGGTGACCCCGACGTGATTTGAACACGCAACATGAAAACAATACACGTTCCTTGTAACGAAGCCGGAGTTGAAACCTTTGTTTGAAGTGATGTCTGAAGCCCTCAACAAGGCTAAATAATGAAACAACATAATAGAAATAATGGAATTGAATACACAAATACCTAATTAGTTCCTCACATAGAACTAAATTATCTTCAATACAGAAAGTGAGTGAAATCATCTTCAAATAAAAGTACTACTCAAGACTCGGAATGTTTGGTTTTCTCCAAGTTTGCTGAATGTTACATTGTGCAATGGAAGAATAAACAAAGACATTGAACATTATATTTTGTGTACATACATATTATGATTAATGTAAGTAGTTTTTTATTGTGTCAAAAGTTGTTAGGTATAAGTTAAAATAATGTCTCTACTTTATTTTTATTGTGTTGAATTTTAATTTCATGTTAATATTTTTCTATTCATCCCTTATTTGGATTTTCAATAAGTAACAAATATTAGAGTTTTACTTGTACATTCATTAGATATTATCATAGATAAAAAATTATATAACTTTACCAAATGTGTTTGGCAAAGATCTCCAATACCTTGTAATTTGTAGTAATTAAATTGTAATTGTAAGGTTTTTATAGTGACTGATCAAGTGGTAATAAGTTATATTATAATGGAGGAACTAAAAGCACAGATGGAAAAATTGATTGCCCAAAACGAACAGCTCGTTAAACAAAATGCTGACCTGCAGCACCAAATACAAAAATCTACTTTAGCAACATCTACTGCTCAGGTGGAGCAATCAACATCAGAAAGTGTTAGCATTTCTCAATCTACATATGGGGTTCGTCCTAAATTGGCACAATTCTGATTGGATCGGCCCGCTGGATGGTTTGCCCATATTGAAGCACAGTTTGCTTTATCGGGTATAACAATTGATGAGACAAAATATAACTACGTGGTGTCACAAATTGACTCTAGGTTATCCAGGGATGTAGAAGACCTTGTTACCAATCCCCCACCTCATGGCCAGAGATATGAGTGGATTAAAGGCGAAATGATAAAGAGGTTTTCTGCGAGTGAGGCACAAAGAGTTCGCCAATTAATATCAGGAGAAGAACTGGGAGATAGAAAGCCCAGTGTTTTCCTGAGACATTTACGCTCTCTGGCTGGTAAACTGAATGATGAAAAAATTCTACGTGAGTTATTTTTGCAGCGTCTCCCATTAACAGTCCAAGCTATCCTGACAGCACAAGCCGAGTTAAGCCTGGAAAAGATAGCAGAATTGGCTGATAAAATTTTAGAAGTTGCACCAATTTCTGTTAGTGCTACGCATACTGTAACACCTCTAGCATCTACTGATAGAAATACTGATTTATCATCAATTGTTAATAAGTTACAGGAACTGTCCACACAAGTAGCAGTTTTGACAGCACGCCAATGTCGACCGAAATTTAGGTCGAGGTCCAGATCTAGACCCAGGACACCATCCCGCTCCGACACCATTTGCTGGTATCATCGAAAGTATGATGCCAAAGCAGACAAGTGTGTGCAGCCATGTGCTTGGAAGCCTGTTTCGGGAAACCAGGAAGGCAGTCAGCGTTAATGGCGGCAGCTGACTGCTGTCAAGTCAGGGGTAGCCGCCTGTTCGTTACTGATAGAGTGAGTAAAATAAATTTTCTCATTGACACTGGTTCCGATATTTGCTGTTTTCCGCGTAAACTTCTACCGTACAGCCTTACCATTTCCGAATACAGTTTATGTGCAGCCAATGGTACTGGTATTAAAACTTATGGTAGTAGAGTTTTCAATTTAAACTTTGGTCTCAGGCGCGAATTTAAATGGAATTTTACAATTGCTGATGTAGAAACTGCCATCATCGGTGCAGATTTTTTAGCTTACTTCCATCTTTTGCCAGACTGTAGAAGGAAATTGTTACGCGATGACATAACTGGACTTTCCATTCCAGCCTCAATTTGCAATATCAACCAACCCAGTGTGAAAACAGTAAAAATTAATGACGACTCGCCTTTTTCAAAAATCCTTTTGGAATACCCTAATATTATTGGGCCACCAGGTGCTTGCCGCGTGACAAAGCACGGTACGGTCCATTACATAAATACTACAGAAGGACCTCCAGTGGCTGCGCGCCCGCGTCGTCTTGCACCAGGTAAGTTACGCGCCGCACAAAAAGAGTTCGCAGATATGGTGGCTGCTGGTGTCGCCCGTCCTTCTAAAAGCCACTGGTCTTCGCCACTGCATCTGGTCCCTAAAAAGGATTCCACATGGCGACCTTGCGGGGATTATAGAATCTTAAACGCCCGCACAATACCCGACCGTTACCCTGTTCGTCACATAGGAGATTTTGGTCATAATCTAGCTGGATCAACTATATTCAGCACAATAGACCTTGTGAAAGCATACCAACAAATACCGGTAAATGAGGCTGATATTTGTAAAACAGCTATAACAACGCCATTTGGTTTGTTTGAGTTTCCCTATATGACATTTGGTCTGAGAAACGCGGGGCAGACTTTTCAACGTTTTATAGACGAAGTCGTAAATGGTTTGAGTTTCTGTTTTCCGTACATTGACGACATTTTGGTTTTTTCGCGCTCGCCGGAGGAGCATATGACACATTTGCGCACCTTATTTCAGCGTCTTAATGACTATGGTTGCATCATCAATCCTGTCAAGTGCGTTCTAGGCGCAGATGCCATCACATTCTTAGGGTATAAAATCTGTCAAGATGGAGTGCGGCCACCAGAAGAGAAAGTTGCTGCCATTAAGGAATTTCCTCTTCCGAAGACCGCTCAAGGCTTAAGACGATTTCTTGGTATGCTAAATTATTATCGACAATTCATACCGAAAGCGGTGGAAACACAAGCCCCGCTCATAGACTTTCTTACATCATCAAATTTAAAAGGAAACAAACCCATGCCTTGGTCTCCTGATCTTGAAAAGGCATTTTATTCTTGCAGAGAAAGCCTTTCTAATGCAACACAACTTGCTCATCCAGTTCCAGATGCTTGTTTAGGTTTATTTACGGATGCCTCAAGCGTGTATGTGGGGGCCTGCCTTCAACAACAAACTGACAAAGGTTGGCAACCCTTAGCTTTTTTCAGTAAAAAGCTGACGCCAAGTCAGTCGACTTGGCCTGCTTATTACCGAGAGTTATACGCGGTTTACAATGCGGTCCAACATTTTAGACATATACTAGAAGCTCAGCACTCAACAATATACACTGATCATAAACCTTTGCTCTATGCCTTCGTTCAACGTCGTGAGAAATTACCACCAGCACAGTTGAATCAACTAACGTTTATATCGCAGTTTACAACGGATATTAAATATGTCAAGGGTGAAAACAACATAGTTGCCGATACAATGTCTCGCATAGAAACAATAAGACTTGAAGATGATTATGCCGCGATAGCAAAGGCTCAAGAAGCTGATGATGAGCTTAAGTCTAATAACTCTTCCTTAAAATTAGAGTCTACACCCGTTCCAGGTATGGATATATCAGTACTCTGTGACGTCTCAACTGGCAAGCCGCGACTATATTTACCGCTGATTTTCCGGCGTCCTACGTTCACACGTCTTCATGCACTCAGTCATCCTGGTGCTCGTGCTTCTGCGCGCCTTTTAGCGGCGCGCTATGTATGGCCCAATATCGACCGAGACTGCCGCAAGTGGGCCCGTGAGTGTCTGTCGTGCCAAAAAAGTAAAGTCACACGCCATATTTCAGCTCCACTTGGTAATTTCAATACACCAACAGCTAGATTCAGACATGTCCACATAGATATAATCGGCCCGATGCCAACTTCAGATGGTTTTACTTATTGTCTGACGGCGATAGATCGTTTCACAAGGTGGCCTGAAGCCTGGCCAATATCTTCCATCACTGCCGAAGAAGTTGCTAGCAAGTTCTTGCATGGGTGGATTGCGCGCTATGGTGTCCCTATCACAGTCACTACTGATCAGGGTCGCCAATTTGAATCGACGCTATTCAAAGAACTGATGAACCTAAGCGCCTCCAAACGCGTACGAACTACCAGTTACCACCCCCAAGCAAATGGTATGATAGAGCGCTTTCACCGCCAGCTCAAGGCAGCTCTTATGTGTCATAATGATACATGGCATCGAGCTTTGCCCCTTGTTCTATTTTGAATACGATCGGCGCCCAAAGACGATTTAAAATGTTCATCAGCAGAACTGGTTTATGGAGAACCTCTCAGATTGCCTGGGGAATTTCTAGTACCAAGTTCAACAGGTACAAATTTATCTGATGATTTTGTAAAACAGCTTCGCTCCGTTATGGCTGAACTTCGTCCTATTCCTGCGTCACATCATTCGCAACCTAAATCCTTTGTTTTTAGGAATCTTAAAGATACAACCCACATTTTCCTGCGAGATGATACTGTCAGGCGTTCTTTACAACAACCTTATACTGGTCCGTTCAAAGTCTTATCCCACAACAATAAAACCCTTACGATTGATGTTGCAGGGAAACAACAATAAGTAAGTATTGATCGCACTAAACCAGCATATATTTCATGTGCTGAACCGGAACCTAATATACTGACATGTCCTGAAGTAATTCTGCCAACCGGAAACTTACCGTCACCTGTTTCCCCTGCTACGCCTCCAGCTCCATTAACTCTACCTACTACCACTCGGTCAGGACGCACGGTTAAGTTTAAAGTCCCGTATAATATTTAGTTTGTTAGGTTAGAATTTTATTACATTGTATTTCTTTATATTTATTTATTTATTTATTAGACACAATAACAGTTTACAAACCAAAACCAATACATTTACATAAAGACATTACTAGCAACAAGTAAGCTTGCAACCGATAACAATTGTGCACAGCATTCAAATATTATTAGGTTAACATAAAATTCACAATTAATAATCCGATTTATTATGAATATATATACATAATTTAGATTAAAATGCAAGTTCAGAAATACATGATTGCAAATCATATACAAAATTAAATCAAAACAACATCATAAAAGCAAAATTAAATAGATGAAGAATTACATTCAAGTTAAGTTTTAAATTAAGTAATGGTCAAAACACTTTGTCCTTGGCAGTGTACCTTTACACTTTTCATAAAGGAAGCAAAACTTTGTTGGAATATGTCCACTTCAGTACTAATCTTATTATAATTTCTGCACATGCGATAAAGAGGGTTATTGTAAGAGACATTATACGATGTTATTGGTACATGAAATAATTTCTGAGTGCGAGCTCTCCCTATTATGAGTGATACCATGCTCAACAACTCACCAGTATCCCATTTTGCATTTAAAGTTTAATATCAATATCTAGCTTTGAGTATGATTATATTTTTACTAAAATTATTTTTTGTTACTTAATTTTCATATACAATTAACTATGTTACTGTGTGTTGTTTGTAAACAAATACTTTTCTCCGTGGGGGGGTGCTGTGGCGATTCGCCATCACTATCCCACAATTATTATATACACATCCCTACACCGGGGAGTGTTTTGGTTGTCTATGGGGACGCTATGTGATCGTCAAGTAGCATCTAAGTTTGTAACCAAAAATGTAATGTTTTATACCATTATAAGAACATCTAACCAAGTTCCTCCGTGTTTCTTTTCGTGGTGATTAAACCCAAAGCTTATATGTGCATTTAGCACAATTCTGCCAATGTCAAGTGAATTAATTAATTTCTACATGTAAAATAAAATGAAAAAAAATCTGGTTAGTCGGTTGTCAGCCACTTTATCCCATAAATAAAATAGTGTTGTGAATAAGAAGTGATCGATGAATTATGATGCGTTTAAATTTCTTACTTTTTAGTTTATCTTATGATAATTTTCTATCATATTTATTAATTAAAACATGGAAACTTTTTCATGATTAGAAAAACGCAAACTGAAGTTGGTGTGTTTCGAAGTGTTAAGTATAAAGAATTGTAAATAATGCTGTCTATTTACTCCATCTAAAAAAAAATCAGGGCAGTTTATACTACGAGCACTCAATTACAATAACATTCGATAACTCATTATATTTATAATAAAGTACATAGTATAAAATAATCGCTTCCCGTTGTCTAAACGCTGAGATCTTTTAAACTACACAACGGATTTTAATGCGGTTTTCATCAGTATACAGAGTAATTCAAAAGGAAGGTATATAATACAAGACTACGCGGGAGAAGCTCACAATGTTATTAAATTAATATATATTGAACAGATTATACACATTAATTGTTTACAACTAAAGTTGTCAAAACTACAAATTCACGTACGTTAGTACGTAATTTTAGCCAAAATTCAGAGTGTCGGGACCTAATAGAACTCACCCGGTGTTATAAGTAAGACAACACTAAAGTCACAACATATCCCTAAGAGTTGCCTTTTCGTCTGTAATGTAATGTGTAAAATCTTATTAAAATAATTTAAGTCTAAAGTACATTAATTATTATATTGCACCAACCAACACACCCCGTTATTGCTGCTGAGTGCATCCAGGATAAGAATAGGCGAATAATAATGTGCCGTGTTACCGCCAGTCTTTGTTTATTTGTTGCACCTTGGATTGATTATTTTTCATTTTTAATATAATCAAATTATTACGCTGCCATTCTTTTAAAGCTAAACGTTATTCTAAGTATTTAATAACATAAGATGAGGGTGAGCTAAATATTCACTATTTTCTTTAGTATGGCATATTTACACTTATCATATCATACTGATTTATATCCGCGTGGAACGTGCAGGCGATTTCAATTTCTCACTTCATTGGGCGGTTATTGTTCTATTTTCCAATGAGATGCACGTGCAAAGATCGTCCAGACGAGTGTATATAAGAAAAAACTATTACAATTCGATTACGACGACAGATCAAATATACAACACTATTTTTTTTTTTATTATTTGACAGCAAATGTCAGCAGTCAGCTGTCTGTCAGCTAATCAAATCAATTCATCTGTCAGTATGTCACGTCTGTCAGTTTAATTTAAAGCTAGTGAAGCTCGACGAGGACAATTTTGTCTGATTTTGGATTACGTCCTATTTGATCTTGAAATAAAAATGTTCAGAGATCAAACAAGATTACTTAATAATATTTAAAATTGCAAATTCTTACAAAAATCTAAGTGGATTTCTTTAAATCTTGACGAAAAAAATAGCCTTTAGATTCATTATATCTTTAAAATGTTATCTAAACACCGCATAGTTTTAACAAGACTGAAGAGCAAAATCATTAGTTGTTACAGGTATTCCTCGTCCTCGACTGTCGCCTCGACAGATGTAATTTTTTCAAATGGGTAAGTTGAGGTTATATTTTAGGTTAGGACCGAGGAGCCGCTCATTTAGTTGGTCCATTAAAAACAGTGAATTATTTTATCCTTTGCAGAATAAAACTGAACTTATCAACTGGTCGCTATGCACGTTTCGCTGATGGGTCGTGTGTTGCCACAATTGGTGAAACTAGTGTACTATCCACTGTTGTTTCCAAAGCCAAAGCAAGTGCTAACTCGTTTTTGCCCCTCGTTGTGGATTACAGACAGAAAGCGGCAGCTGCAGGGCGTATACCCACCAATTTCATGAGGAGAGAACTTGGTAACTATTCATTAATCTGATAATAACATTACTCACATTAAATAATAACTATGTAATAGCTGTTGGGATTCAATCATGCTTTAAGTCAAAGATAATTAAATCAATCTAATGACCTTTATCTAAATAAAACCTTATTTGAGAAAGGACTTTAAAAGTGCTTTTGATTCTGGTTGACAAGAATTATTTACATTGAAAAATAAGAGTCATGTTCATTTATATTTGTGTTCAATCAATTTAAATAATAAAAGTAAGCTTATATATCAGATACTTATTTATTCACATCATCTTAAAGTAAAGGAATCCTACAGAACTTTTAAATAAATAAGAATTAAGGGTAAATCACCACATAAAAAATAATAAAACATGTTAGATTTCCACAATAAATTTTTAAATCAACTGGCAAGACATTATGGCTTATGATTGATTAAACTGTATTTATTACAAATAGCTGTATGATTATCACTTAACAATTTTTTTTGTATGATTTTAAGATTTTCAATTAACTCAATATAGAGTATAATATTTATTTTCATATAAAAATTAAAAATACAAAAAAACTTTATAAATTATATTTTTCAGGTCCAACTGAAAGGGAAATCCTCACATCTCGTTTAATAGATCGTTCTCTAAGGCCACTTTTCCCTCAAAATTACAACTATGATACACAGATTGTTTGTAACATGCTCGCGGTTGATACAACAAACCCTCCCGAAACTATCGCTATCAATGCTGCAAGTGCAGCTCTAGCTTTATCTGATGTGCCTTGGAATGGACCTGTAGGTGCTGTAAGGTGCGTAGTCAAAACACTATATATTATATATGGTAAACCAACCTAGATGTGGTAGTTTTATAAAAGGAACTTATTATTTAGTAAGTCTTGTTTGCCTTACCTTATAACAATCTTCTAATCTTTCTTGTTTTTCGTTAAAACTCTATTCTACTTTGCTATCATAGTTTAGTTAAAATAAATCTATATAGAAACAACACAGTACTTGCATACTTGCCATTTACAAATATACACTTGGGCCTCTACAGTACAACTACATGGGTGTACTACTAGTGGCCCATATAGTAATGAATGGAGCATGAAAATAGCCTTAAAAATTAAATTAATAACTTACAAAAAAAAGCTTTGAAATTAATTTATTTATTATAATTAATGATTAAACGAACTTACCAAGTGAAGTTCTATCATAATTATACGAGGCGCCTCGTTCGAAGAGATTAGTATTTATTTGATTAGATTATATTACTAGTAGTAGTATCGCATATGTGTCACTACTCCGGCACTATAGTTGAGATTTCTTTGCATTTGCTTTTTTTTAATTTTTTTTTTATTACGAGGGTAGTTCTCATCTTCTTAGTCGATACCGTTCCCTGCCATCTTCATTCGCTTTATAGTGCCCGACTGCTCCGGTCGTATTCCCAATAACGTGTATAACAGATCGTTAAAATGCCGAAACGTACGAAAGTTAGAACATGTGAAGAAGAGTTAAAACATCCTCAAAAGAAAATGCGTAAATTAGAACAAAAAATATTCGATAAGGAAAGTTCAGTTAGTGACTTGTGCCCGAATTTATTGGTACGGAATGCGATCAGAAAAGTCATTGGGGCTTATTCAACGCATTCAGTAAATCAGTTAGCGTTCAATCCATTGGGGATCTACCTAACTTTGACAAGATAACTATCGTTATCTAAAAGTGCTATTGTACATATCGTACCTATCAGACTATAACGTATTTACGTTAAAACAAAAAGTATGCACCTGAACTGCCGTTGGGGTTGATTCGTCGCATACTTTTATGGATGACTATGATAATATGAATGAAAATCCCAAACGATTTTCTTATCTTTCTGCCACCCCACCTATGGTGCCGAGTGATTGGTTATTAGAACAACCTCATTATGACGATGATCCACAATCCATGATTGGTATCAGTGACATTCAAAACTTATACTATACACTGAGGATGACTGTGTCGACGCGACGACCGTTAATTTAATTAATTTATGTATTATAATCACGGTAATTACAAGATCAATAAAATTAAATTATTACAATAAATTATTTACATTTTAAAGGCCAATTACGACTATCCAGCATATTACAAATAACTCTTTTTAACATTGCCTAATCACTACTTTTTTGTTTGTTTTTTAAAATAACATTTTGTAATAAAATACAATATGTCATAAGGGGCCATCCATAAATTACGTCACACATTAGGAAGGGGGGAGGGGGGGGGGGGGTCGACGAACTGTGACATTAGAACAATATTTAGTAGAATTTGTATAGACAAACATGTGACACAAGGGGGAGGGAGTTTAAAAATCATGAATTTTGATGGCCCCTAATATGCATAATAAATAACATATAAAATAAATCAATACAGATAGGGATATGGATACGTATGTTATACAGTTTTATACACAAATACATAATATGATCTTCACCATACTAATCATCAACAGGCTAGTCGAATATATTCTTTAATTTTATAAATCAATAGTAGTTATAAAGAAAAAATATTTTGTATATCTTTCTAATTGACCCTTGTTATTTGCTATATTGGTGTACAGTAAGATTTAAACAATGGTGATTCTTCATATGCACAGAGCAGAAATTTATAGTGAGTCTTGTTTCAATAATTATAAAGTGTAAAATGCAAAGCTTTAAGTGTCCCTCTCACATGCACACACTTAGCGTCAGGTATGTGGATATTGTTGGATCGTACAATGGCGTGATACTTGAATAATTCTGATTGACCGACATTTGCCGCGCTTCGAAATTTAGCCTTTAGTACATGTACATCAATCCGCCACATCAGTTGTATCTTATTGTATCCGTTTTTAAATTTATGAAAATGTTTGCCTTTGCTGTCGTTTCTAATTACCTTACGCTGGTAGAGCTTTATTGACTATGTCATGAAACGTTATTGTCATATTGATTCTGTATTGTGTGAAATTCCATGATACAAATTATTAGTAAAAAAAAATAGGCAAAACAACAAAGAAGAAAATTCAAGAAAAAAATAACTTTTCAGATTAGGTCAAGTTGACAATGAACTAATAGTAAATCCGACACGTAAAGATTTGGAGACATCCACACTTAACCTGGTTGTAGCCGCTACCAAGAGCAACTTGGTTGTGATGCTTGAAGGCAGCGCTTCAGATATCTTGCAACAGGATTTGTTGAAAGCCATCAAATTAGGTATGCATGTAAGTCTGTTTTAAGGAAATATTTGCATAATTACTAATTAAAAGCTGGTGTCAGATTAATAAAATTGCATCTCCCAATGGTTTTTTTATTATGATTTTGTTTATTGTCTAGCTGATGCTTTTTGGTTTTCTGTTTTTCCTAGATCTAAAACTCTAAAACTGGGCCTGAAATAGTTGCTACTTCATGTGTACATCATATCGACAGTATTTTATATTTTCATTAACAGGTACAAAAGAAGCTCAACATATAGTGAGATCTATAGAAAAGCTTCAAAAAGACCATGGAAAAATGAAGCGAGAATATGAGACGCAACTGCCACTCGAAGAGAGTATATTGGAGTCCATTAAATCATTATCTACTATGAAGATAAGAGAAATTCTTAGGTAAGTTGTTTCACTCTGTAGATGAGATGGATCAATGATTACTTCCTGCTACTTGTTCTGTGTACTTTCTTTTCTTTTGATTTTTAAGTTTCTTGCGCCAGTTCTTTTCCGTGGCTAAAACAAATCCTAAATGTATGGTAGAGAAATGTAGATCTTTCAACAGAGTTGTATTATTGACACCAATTAAAATTAAGAATATTGAGTCAATCGCTTAAATTCAGATGCAAAATCATCTGAATGTAACAGATTGTTATATGAATGGAATATGGAGAAAATAGCTAACAAAATAATATTTAGAAAAGCTCTTTATATACCACTCTGGTTATGTATTTCTGTACTAGCCAACAAATTCTTAGTGTTCCGCTTTTACATACAAAAACTTTAAAAAAATATTCGTCTAGTGAAAAGTACTATCTTTCCCAACGCCAGCGATCACTCTCATGACAAAACAAGCCGTGACGTAGCGATAGCCGATGTGAGGCAGACTGTTCTCAATCAATTACGGGACTCGGCTGACGCAGTTCAGCTACAGGATGCCTTTAACGCCCACCTAAGGCAGATCTTCAGGGACATGATATTCGAAACTGATACGCGATGCGACGGCAGACACTTGGATGACCTCAGGAAGATTAGTTGTGAGGTAAAAACACAATAGTTATTAAACCAATAGCATAAATAAAAATAGCATAGAAATATCGAATGTCTCAAACAGCAATTGAACCAAACTTTAACAATTTTAAGGTTTTCTCAACTGTTTGCCTCGATGAATAAATATATGTTTTCCAAATTAAATTTCTTATCTAAATTATTTGATTTATATTATTCTTACAAAATTATGTATTCTGTAATTTAAACTCGAAACTTAAACTGTTTCATATTATTGTGCGGTTGGTTACTAAATTATCGATATAAGAATAATGGTCCATTGTGGTGACAGTGAGTGTACTATACCATAATAACGACCTTTGACATTTTAAGATAAAAGAGATCTTTGTATCTAAACTTTGTTTTCGTCCGCAATATTAAATTATCATAAAATTCGTTTAGGAAGGAAAGGAAGGACCTCTTTAATGGAATACAGTATAACAACAAATCTTAACTAAATCGTTCATTTGTAAAAATAATCAAGGATGTCAAAAAATAAGTAAAGGAATTCAAACCTCGAATTTTTTAACATACTAACAATAAGTAAGATTTGTTGTTATACCGTTACTGTTCTGACCTCATACGAGCCTATTGATATCTATTGTCCGACCGAAACTGGTTTTTCCAACCGAAAACGAAACAGAATTTCCGCAACGGTCTCAGTTTTTGCCGAAACCGAAACTTCCTTACAAAGATCATATTTTGAGTGGAAAATAATGAAAATGATTTTATAATCAGTCAGTCTTTATTTTGTTATCTTTAAATCACAAAGCTATTCAGTATTAGACATTTTCATCATAATAATCAACATACTTAACAATTTCTCAATGTCCTCATTAGAGGAACAAGTAATTGTACTTTAAATTTACTAAAAATATATGAGGCGTTAATTTGAACAGTTAGATGGAATCTAAAAATGAAACCACCAAATTTCATGGTAAAAAACACAAGTAGCAACCCTAAATACATGTACAACACCTGCCAACGACAATATGGCCAATTTTAGTTCCATTCATTTCTTTCTCGTTTAGTTTCGGTTTCGGTGGCAAACCTAACGAAACCGAAACTCGTTTTTTTGCCGAAACTTGACCGAAACGGAAACCCACCATTCGGTCGGACACTATTCATATTTCAGTGATAATTTCAAAAACACTACTGAAAGTATTTTACATTAAATAATAGGTGTCGCTGTATTCGCCGTTGCACGGCAGCGCGTTATTCCAGCGCGGACAAACTCAAGTATTGTGCACTGTTGCCTTCGACTCACCAGATAGCGCACTGAAACTGGACCCCCTCACTATGATCACTAGGTTAGTACACTAGTAACTAAGATAAACTAACTTCTTCGCTTCGGCATGAATGGGCCGGCTCGACCGGAGTGATACCACGGCCTCACAGAAAACCGACGTGAAGCAACGCTTGCGTTGTGTTTCGTCGTGTGAGTGAGGGTACCGGAGGCCCAAACCCTCCCTATTCCCTTCCCCTACCCCTCAACCCTTCCCTCCAAGGCCGGCAGCCCCTCTGGTGTTGCAGGTGTCCATGGGCGACGGTAATCACTTACCATCAGGTGATCCGTCTGCTAGTCTGCCCCCTATCCCATAAAAAAAAATTATAAAAAAATAATTGTTATGTATGTATAGTTGATAGAATTTTATCAAAGATGACATAATTATATTATTTATCATATAAAAACATTTCTTTCAATTTGATGATAGCAATAAAACATGAGTACGGGTGTAGACGTTATTTTTAATATTTTTATTTTATAGGTTAAATATACTTGAAATATATTTAAATATGTTTTTTAAATCAATTTAAAATCTAAAAATAAAATTCATGTTTAAAATTTCCCGCTAACCTGTAACCTATCATGGCATTGATATGACGTCACAGTCAAAAATAACAACAACAAACATCGTTCTATGCACAGTTCTATGTATGCCAATATCAATGTCAAATTTATGAAATCTTCCATACAAGACTGTGACGTCACGCGTTGTTTGCAGTCACGTGACAACGAGTATAAAATAAAAGAGCAGACTTAATTTACTTAAATTATACATTTTAGAATAGTTGTATTTGATAGATTGAAAACACATAATTATGAAACGTGAAACGTTTATAAAAGCACTAGGGTGACGTCGTTCCTCAAAACTGGTGTAAGTATAGTATCTGATGTGTACAGTGGTATAAAGGAGAAGAGTTTCTTCCTGCACTACGAGTTTCCGTCGTACGCGACGGGCGAGGTGGGTCGCGGGGGCGGGGGCGGGGCGGGGCGGCGCGAGGCGGGGCACGGGGCGCTGGCCGAGCGCGCCCTGCTGCCCCTCGTGCCCGCGCTGCCCTACACCACCCGCCTCACCGCCGAGGTGTTGGAATCCAACGGTAATTTACGCGTTTTTATTTCCGCGACGCAAATTAGATAGGCGTTATATTTTTTGTACCTACATTATTTTACACTTACTGTTTTCCCGCTACTTCGCACGCGTAATTTATAGCCTATGTCAACCCATATGATGTGAGAGAGTTTTTAAAATCAATTCACTAATTTCGGAGTCTCATCATTATCATCGGCCTATTTACGTCCCCACTGCAAGTGCTCAGGCCTTCCTTATGGATGGTTAAGGAGGATGGGTCATGACCCTCCACGCTGGCCCAATGCGGAGTGGAGGGTATTAACGACTGTAAATGCAGCCGGGACCAACGGCTTAATGTGCCTTCCGAAGCACGGAGTAGCTCGAGATAATAATTTTTCGGTCACCCATCCCGTGACCGACCCTTGCGAAAATTGCTTAACGACAACGATCGCGGGCCCCGGCGCTTATCCACTACACCACCGAGTTACAATTTCGGAGTCTATTTGATGCAAACAAACATACAAAGATACAATCAAATCTGTCCTCTGTATAATATAAGTAAAGTTTATCAATAATAGATATAAATTTGATATAATTGATACAAAAAGTGGACTGAACTGCTAAGGTTGCACCATCGTGAAATACCACTACTTGGCAGATCTCAGACGTGTGAAAATAAGCTCCGAAAAGTTTATTAGTTAATAATTAGTAGTTTATTCATAAGAAAATACACACTTTCAGTTAATGGAACGAACATATTCGACGATCGCTAGAAGTATGTTTCGCGAGGTCACCGTCAGGTATTCCAGAACCTACGTACTGGGTACCGAGTGACGTAGACCCTTAGTACTTCGACATACTGAAATAAAAGATTTAGAAAACTCTTGTACATTTTTGTCGCTAGCTCTCCATCTATAATGTGTATTGTCTTTCTGCGCTTGCATAATCTTTGGGTCTTTGTCCGTTTTTTCGCTCACCCAAGGAACAATCGGATTTACATGCTCAACCTCCCGAAACCATGTATTACTAGCCACGCATTTTTAGTTCATAATTTACGCACTATAAAAGTACATAGTCTTGCCATAATTATTATTACATAGACAATTATCTTTTTTTAATTGAACATAACATTAATATTACTAATAATAATAGCTAGCTATAACTTATTCGAATTGATCTCCATTGGCTGCAATACAGTCCTTTAAACGTTGAAATATTCTTAAATGCCAATCAAATGGATTGTTTTGGGGACTCCCAATCATCATGACATTTAGAGCAAGCCTTACTTTCTAAAAGTAATAATGTCATGATGATTGGGAGTTTTTGATCTGGCGCCAAGGCTTGTCGAAAGGACCATTCTTGGTTATTGAACGTGGTGTTGTTAA